CGCGGGCTGAGCTGTCGGCGTACATCGTGCCCGTCTACCCTAGCACCGCGGCCCCGCTCGCTTCTACAACCCGAGTTCAGTGGTTGAATAAAGAAGCCGGCCCGTTCCCAGCCCTGCAGCTCCGGGGAAGCGGGGACCCCACGGTGGTGTCCCCCCAGACAAGCGTGCATCTTGGAGGGTGTTTCCGGACGGGCAGTGTAGAAGCATGGAGGGGCTGGTGGAGAACAGCTTATCGGGCTCTGGAAGAAAAAGACATGTATGTATTGTTTAACCATGTGTTTTGTTATTTATACGCACGTGTCCAGTGACACGCACTTCCGTGAACATACCCCTAGGTATCATCCCTCTGGGTGTACTTTTATCCGACCGAAAGCCTTTGCATACACAGTACCTGACAGTTCATCATGGAGCTTTTAATATCCGAGTTTATCAGTCCTTTCCAGCCCTTGCCTTGCTCTGTAGCTCACTCATCCAGGTGTTATCTCTGGAGCCTTTGGGGAGCACCAGGGCAGTCCCCGTTGGTCCCGGCCGCGTTTGCTTTTGTCCTGGCTTCAGGCACCTCAGCGACGTCACCAACAGCGGTACGCGTGCTCAAGTGCGTTTTGCACCGGCAAAGAAAATACGTAAATAAATGACACCGCTCTTTATCCTCGTCCCTGGAAGGCAGGACGTCCGCTCTTGCGCCAAGCTCGATCCCGGCAGGCTTGCAGCTGCACGCAGGGAGCGGGCTGGAGGAGCGGGGCGAAGCTTGCTGTGCGTCCCTTCCCACAGCTCCCACGAGCTCGCCGCGACCGAGGGTTTCCCCGCGTGGGGAGACGATACCCTGCATCATCAGTGAGGCCGTTGCTGGAGCGATGTACAGGGAGGGCGACGCAAACATCTCGCCTGCGTACAGAGCAGGTTTGCCACCACTTGAAGCCTTTACGTGGGGGCTAGAGGTGCTGCTTGGCTGCGCCCCGCGCCACGGGCCCTCCCAAGGAAGGGGCTCAGGCCCTTCAGGAAAGGGCTGCACGGCCACAGTGGTTCCTTTATTATTTTTTTATTATTTTTTATTTGTAACGGCCTCAAAAGCCAAAATTGTAGCTGGGGAAATACAATACAGGGATGCCCTGAGCCATCCCTTTTCTCCATTCCCATAAGCAGCAACGAGGAAACCAGCTGGATGGGGAAACCTTGGGCGTGAGCTGGGTGGCTTAACGCCGGTGCCCGGGGCGTGCTGCAAGCGACTGCCCATGTCGGCCCTGCCCAACCGGTGGCTGAGCACCCAGATTGCTTCCTGATCTCCATTTTCCTTCGCAAGTGCCTTTTTTTTTTTTTTAAATACAGTCTTGCCACCTTCCTGCACCAAATCTATTGGTTGCCTGCTCAGATTTATCTGTTTACCCTGTTGCCTGGGTTTAAATCACACTCCTCAACACCTGGCTGTCTGCACAGTACTTGATTTTCTTTGTTTGAGCTGGAAAACAAAAGACAGAGACCTTAAAGTAAGGTTGAGACCACAGCGCGTTATGTTACCGACCCCTCGGAGACAGTGAATTTAAGGAAAGCAAAGCTGTAACTACTCATCCTCGCAGAGCAAGCTCACACTGCAATTGCAACAACCCCAGGACAACTCAGGAAGTTGCAGCGCTCTGGAGCTGTCTCAGTAGGAAGAGATGTCCTCCTCTCCTGGTAGTCAAAGTGACACCAAGGCATCAAAAAAACCCAACAAAAAAACCCCAAAAAATCCAAACCACACCTCTGAGAAGTTACATACGCAAAAAGGGTAAGTCATATTGAATGATGTCAGTCCTGCTCCAAATGAGTGTCAAACCTGGGGCCAGAAGATGAAGGTTTAATTGCCAGGCTCAGTTCATTACCTGTTTCACTGTTTCCAGCTGCGTTTCCTGGAGTCCAAGGCTCCCTCCAGCTCCTGCTCAGCCACCAAATCTTCGATTTCCTCTCAGAAAACTGCCACGATCCCCATTTTAACTAGTCGGTCCGTCTAGCTGACGGCATGTTGCGCCACATACAGCAGCCTGGGGAGCTCACAAGTGAACTGCAGCATCTCACCGTGCACCAGCCACCGCTAAGGCGCAGTCTTCTCTCTGCACGTGTTAACGGGCATGTCCTGGAGCGGGCAGAGCTGCTGCCCAAGGGCCACGCTGGAGGGGACACAGTTCAGCGCCCCCAGCCGACGAGGCCGCGTGCCTTTCTGCGGCGAGCTGGACGCTGCCTGCAGCGGCCGCTCTGGGCCCGGATTCCCATGCAGCCGCACCAGCCCGTCGCCAAGAAAGTTGGCTCGGCCAAGGAGAAGAAACAGCTTTGCCAGAGGCTGCAGCAAAACTAGAAACAGGACCGTTGGTTTCAACTGGAAAAAAAAACTTTCCCACTGAGTCCTCCGTAGGAAAAAGCAAGGGTATTGCACAAGTCAGTCCAGAATTGGCTTCCAAATGTACAGTGCTGCAGCCGTGGTACAGGATGCTGAGGTCACTTTATCCCAAGTTCAAAGCCAGTCATTTGTCCCAAAAATGCTGTTCACTGGCAGTTTTGCCATCTTTACTTGTTGTCTTAGCCACCGCAGCTGTCCTATTTCAAGAAGCCAAGGGGAAGTCTCTTCAAGACACTGGAAAACTCTAGGAACGTTTTTGTTCTGTTTTTCATGGAAAACGTTCCTGCCATAAAGCCCTGTGGACACAGGCCACTCGCTGCTGCCCAGTGTCCCAAAAAGGCAAACTCCTGTGAAGCTGTGGCCAAAGGAGGCAGGTCCCTATCCCTGTCCATCACCATCATGTGACAGCTTCAAGTGCCGCTTTGAGCACAGCTGAGGGGACCCCCAGCATGAGAGCTTTTGCAGGCTCCCCAGCACCCACTGCCCTCCTTTTCCCTCAAATCCCTCTCTTCCACATAGATCGTTTGCCAGGGATGAGCTTCCTTTTGACTGAGCTTGAGGCTTGTGAATCTATTAGATCCTCTCTTGTTTTTGGGGGGTTAGGACCTCCTTGCCGTCCCCCTTTCCTCCCGGGCACAGCGCTCTCGTTGGCTTCATCTGCTCAAAGCTCCAAAAACAGGGAGCTGAGGATGCCATCCCTACTGTGCAGCGACCAAACAATATGCCCATGTAAATCAACACTATAGCAGAGTTCAAAATGAGAAAGAGGGTCCTAAAGAAGGACAGGCACAGCTGAAGAGTAAAACACTACGTCTGCACAACTTGTCCGTACCCACCATAACCCCAGTGGAGTCGCAAACTTTTCCTTCCTCACTAAAGTTTCTTTATCTACCACTCACAGCCACAACGAGGGCCCCCACCAGAAGATCAGCAAGTTGCTTCAGCATCAATAAGCCCCTGACCTCACGTTGCTTTGCGTTGTTGTCAGGGAGGTCTGCTGACATAACCAGCAGCAACGAAACAGCACAACTACACAGCGTCACCGTGAGGGACTCAAACCGCGAAGGGTAACGCCTGGAAAAGCCATCTCATGTAATCCCTCACAGGGTGCCCGAAGAAGTAGTCACTGAACAAAAATAACATGAGCCTGCAGCCTTGCTCTCTGCTGCCCTGTTCAGATGTCAGCACTGGCACAGAGCTGCAGAGACCAGGAAAGACGTTTCGGATGCAGAATATGAACTCCAAGCCCAGGCTTCGCTCCAGGTATTTGAAGCTCAGCAGTACCACGCAACCCCTTCTGGCTGGCTCCCTGCAGCGGATAATGTCATGCCAATGAATGATCTACAAATGCAGTCCAAAGAGTTTTCTTTTTTAGGTTGCTTCATTTCTTTTTTTTTTTAAAAGAAAAACAATAAAAGAAAACTGCACTCCCCTCTCCACTGGGTTTGGTTTAATTCCAGACTTCATTTTTTTCTAGTTTCACACCAAGTGGTACTTCATTATTGGAAACAAATCATCCATTCAAAAGGGAATACAAGCCCACAGAAGATAACAGCACACCTTCAGCATACCAGCATAGTATACACATGTAATTTAACCTCCTAAGGTTGCAAAAAAAACCATAGGAAAAAAGTGTGACTGAGTATGGTGGGGAGGTAGGACATCAGATCAAACACCCTGATCAAAGTTAACATAACCTCGTATGTTGCTAATCAACAGCAACAAACTAGAGCAGAAAAGAAAGGCTCTTAGACACGCTAGAAACCCACGCAGGCATTGACATGTGAATTCCTGTCTTCTCTTGGTAACGCGCTCCTTGTACTTGAAAGCACGGCATCTTCCTAACGCCAAGATCACGAGACCTCTGCATGAACACGCAGGCAGGATTTACCCGAGGAAGAATGAAGGGTGTAACACCCAAGAGGGGGTGGAAATATGTCTATGAAAGGTTGCAGGAAGAGGTAATTATTACAAAGCCCTCATTGTGCTAGATAGGGTATTCTGAGCAAAAAATGGGGTGGAACCAAGGATAGGAAAATTGAGGCTGAACATAGGAGAGAACATGTCCATGGAGCCAAACAGCAACCTTCAAAGGGAAAACGGCAAATCCTTGCCTCTTGTATCATTTGAAAGAAGATTAACCAACGTGCAAGCCAAAGATTAGTACAAACCCACAGCTCACCAAGCTGGAGCCTGCCAGGGCTGCGTGACAGAAGACACATATTAACAGTCGAAACAGCTAAAACAAAGATGAGGCCGACCACCACTCCACCAGAAGCTTTGAAGGAGCAATTTTTTCTTCAGATGTGGTTGAAGGAGCCCCACTGATGCTCCAGAGCCTTTCTCGCCCTCTGCCCCCACCCACACCGGCTGCACCTGGCCTTTAGAGATGCTGGCCTATAACCCAAATGCTAAGTAATGCTCTGGATCCCATCTCATGCATTTCCCAAGCTCAGGGAATATAAGGGAGTCTTCATCAGCCAGCTCTTGGAGCAAGAACAAACATAACCAGTCTTGTGTGGTTTAAAAAAGGATTGGTTTATTTATATGTTGGCGGGTCTTTGGCAGCCTGCCCTTTTGACATCCCTTCTCCAAATGCAGCGGCTCAGGCCCTGCCCCAGAGCACTCTTCAGCCTTCCAGTTACACAGTTCCTGCAGCAGCCCGCAGTGGCTATCTCTCTCTCCCATCAAGTCTCTGAATCCTCCTGCTTGCTCCAGCTGTGAGGTGCCCTCTTTGCTGACTAGAGCTTTTCCTTTGAGGACCGCATTCAGACAAGAGAAAGTAAGCTGCCTACTAACCGTGATTTCATGCTGAACGACACGGGCTGGCTCCAAACGCTGCTTCAGCCACAACACGCCTGCACTGGGGCCAGGCAATTGCCCCAGGACAGCCAGAGTCCTGGGTGACAGGGCCCATGCCAGAGTGCAGCAAGGGCCAGCAGCTCCCTAGAGGAGCAGAGCAGGGTGTGATAAGTCGACCAGCAGAACAGGGACCTCACCAGCCAGAGTCCCTTCCCACAGTACCTAAGCAAGGCAAGCAGTGCAGGCATGATCACCAGGTTCAGCCAAGACTCCAGACCTTTAGACAAGTTCATGGTGATGAGGCAGGTCAAGCCAGGAAGCCAGGATCAACAGGACCCACAGCCAGAAACAGGCACAGCTATAGCTGGATAAGCGACAGACACTCCTTTATCATAGTTCAGGCACCACCAAATGTCCTGGGCTGAGTTGAAATGGGCTCCTGGGCCCATGGCAGGTGGTGTGATGGAGGCCCCAGGTGAGGCCAGTCAGGACTATTAAGGACAGTTAGTGCCCTCTGGGTCCTGACAGTCTGGCTCCAAAGTAGTGCTGTAGAAAAGCAGGAAGAGACATGACATGGCCAAAATAGGTGAGTAAATGTAATGGGAGTTGAGGCTCAGAGATCCTGGCTGCTGCTGGGACCACCCCCGTGCCTTACAGCAGCCTCTGTGAGGATGATACAAAGGGAGCATGAGGTGTTGCTGCCTTTGTTCTGGTCTGTCCAGCTGAATCCACGCACAGACTCCCTGGAGCAGCAAGCAAAGCCCGGAGATGGTGAGAAACAAAACAATAGAACCAAAGAGTCCAAATGTGCCCAGTCCTGCATGAGTGCAAATCTCCTGCTCCGTGGAGAAATCCTCCCCGTCAGTGCCCTGAGCCCTCAGCTCTTGCAGGCTGGGCAAAGCTGACTTAGTGGAAGCGGAGGGTTTCAGTCCCCAGCTAAGCACTATTCAGCAGGGCTCCATTCACTGCAATAAACAGGAAAACACAAGAAAAAAGATCATAAAATTTATAAACAACATCTGTGAGGTCTGGCCTGTGTCGGATAGGCTCTGTTGCTTTCCTTCCACCTCAGGTGATTTTACCACACTGTGTGCAGTGAAATCCCTCTATTTATCTCATAGGATTTGTTTCCTCAAGTCCTGTTTTTCAAAGTCAGCCTTAATCACTTTTTAATCATATTTGATGCTTCCTTGCCTTTGGCATTCCTTAATCTCAAAGATGATTCCTGTAAAACAGCCATGCCTTTCATCCCTCCCAGGGGGGCTCCATCACGTAGGCTGCAGGTCTTAATTAAATGAACAAGTCCTTGACATTACTGTGTTCTCTGGCCCTGCAAAGCAAAGGTAGAAGTTCACTCCTGCCTCCAGCTCTGTTACCATTGCTCAAAAGCCAAAGCAGCCAGTAGAGGAGTCCTGACTGGAGCAAAATGCAGCTTAGCTTCTCTCACTCAATTGACTTTTCTCCTAGGATTGTTCCAGTCAATGCAGTTTCCTCAAGAACTCCAACCTACGTTTATTAAGCGGGTTTCTCCTCACAGAGAGAGCACAGAGACACCAAGTTCCTTTTTAATAATGGGTGAGCTTTGTGTCTGCTAATGTAACACAGCATAAACCTGACTGAGCTTACTCAAGGTGTGATTTCACTCCAGTTATGAGAGAAATAGGCACTAAATTAGTCATTTTAGCAGTGGGATTTTTTTTCGGCAAGCTTCTGCTTAGACCTGTCATTAAACAAAGGCAATGCATGGGCATCTAACCATTATTAATTATTTTTCATTCATAAAAGCCACCTTTGGCTAATAAAAACATAACTGCCATTTCTTCTGTGTAATCAAGTAGCTGCATCACAACACAGTGTCATGTTCCTTGGCTTTCGCTCCGACCCATTGTCACATCCCTGTAGAGAGTCAGGCAACTTTGTACTGCTGTCATACCATGAAACCCCACTGGCAAATGGTGACAACAGGCTCTTTGTGATTCTGCTCTTGCAGACACGTTTGTGATCGTAGGACAGGAGGCAGAACCCAAGCTTGGTCAGCAGTGAAGGCTGAGTGGCGGCCAGGGCTGCGGTCAAAAATGTCCATCCCAGTTCTTTGACACTTCTGCAGTTGTTGGCCATGGCTCTGTGGAAAAGGTGATGCTACCTAGGGTGCAGTTCTCCGGGTGGATTTTATAGAACGTCTAGCTCAAACCCAAAGCAGTAGAGTGAATTTGCTTACACTGATCTGAATTAGTTCCCTCCCCTCAATCACTTTCTTTCATCTTTCAGGTCATTTACATGTTCATAGAAATTGATGGATTAGGCCACTTGGCTGCAAGTGATCTAGGGTCCATCTCCAGCAGTGACGCTCACAAGCTGCTTTTAAAGACACTTTCATGGAAAATGGGAACTTCCTGTGCTCACCTGTTGCTGTTGCGCATTTCCCCCGGAGTACATCTCATAAAGACCTGCAATCCACGAATTTTGTGGACAATGCCACCCTGCAAACAGAAGCCCAACAAGAACCTGGTTACAGTTTTCAGAATATAGAAAGCAGCATCCAACCTCCAAGCAGCAAACAAAAAGAGCGCGTAAAAGTTAGAGGCAGCACATCAATGTTTCACAGGTCTAGAGAGGTTACAAAAGCAGCCATGCTTGGGCCTGTTGATTTGCTTGTGGGCCAACTTGACATGCTTCAGGGAGAAAGCAAGGATACCTTAGAGACTTCTTCCTTATTTGGTTTCTCTCCAGCAGGAGGAAATCAGCTTCCTTTCCTCCGCCTCTGTGGAAAACAACATAATTTCTTATTCCTATTCCGGCTGGGAGGGAAATTCTCAAAAATCTCAACAGGGCCTTAAAGTCGACGGGACTAGCATCTAAGGTCGTCTTTCACCCTCTGAAAATTTTCCCCCATGTTTTTGGGGTGCAGCTGGCAAAAATGTACTCAGTAAGAATTCATGTTTATATGTGCTCCCAGCATGATCTGATTAGATGCTAACACTGGAGGTACAGGAGCTTTTCATGACATGTGCTAGTGTATCCACGCACTCACGCTGGACATCCTTAGCTCTTCAGCATCTGTAGAAACCCTTACACTTACTTAGAGAAAAAGGGTTGAATATCTCTTTTGTGCACTGCAGGAACCAAATTAAACGCGATAGGGATGGGCTACGCAGAAGTCCACCACATGCGGAGCTTCTTCCTGCTCACAACGTTGAAATGCCTTTGCCACCCACAGAAGAACATAGCCACTTCTGAGGCAAGACTCAACAGGAGCGATAACATCAGGGACGCTAACAGAGTAAAGTTAGATGAGAAAAGGACCTTTAGAGCTGGACGAATGCAGGAAAGCAGCAGGGTGAATGAGAGAACTCCTCCCAGCTGCACCAACCGGAGAAGATCTCTGCCTGAAGGGATACCCATAACCACCAGCGAAGATGCGCCAGCCAAAGACCCTTTCCTGCTATCACCCTGGGACTAACTGCATTATCCTTCTCCTTGATGTATGGCTACCCTTGAATCCTGTTCCTCTCTTAGCTGGTATTTATGGTGGCAATTCATTTGTGCTGAAAAACAGGAACCAAGTGATTGCCGTTAAGGCCATGACTGACTACATGCTCTTGACAGTTTCCAGATAGCAGATTAGGAGAACAATAATGGATCGTAAGGAACTGCCACTTACAAAACCCCTTAAGAGCCAGGATTAATGCAAGAGTGAAGAGAAAGCTTGGTGAGGCGGGGTGGTGGGGAGCAGGGACTAGAGGTGTCCCTTTAGGGGCTCTGAGCTTTGTCTTGCCTGACTGATCCAAAAAACCGGCTGGGGAATCAGGAGAAGCTCAGTTACCATCAGCTGCCCTGGGTTTAATAGACCCCCTTGGATTCACGATCACTTCTTTTGCCCTCTTCTGGTTCCCTCTGCTTTTGCATGCCAGGTCCCACCTGGGGGGCTTGGCCACACCATGGGCTGTACTCAGGGGCTCTTCCTCCCTTACAGATAAGGAAGCAGGCAAAGCGGGGAGTTTTTTCTCCCCTATATCCAGTCCAAGTCCTCTATGCAGGTGATGGGGTGCCATCAGAAAGGATGAAGAGATACCTGTCAGCAAGGACAAAGCATGGCCGGTTAATAGAGAGGCACGGAGGATACCCAGTGATGAGATGCGATTGGGCAACAGTTCGAGTTGGACGCAGCTGGTGGCTAATGCATTACAGCCCTCTCCCTGCCTCCCAGGTGCCATAGACTCACAGCAATCCTGCCAGCCTGAACTCCTGTCTCGCAGGAAGAAGCTCAGCATCCCATCCCCAACCGTTTCAAAAGGTTGTTGTGGTGGGTTTTTTTTTTTTTGGCAATACAAAAACAAGAGCAGGAGGAAATACATAAAAAGCTGGTGCCTAGGAGACTGCAACCTCTGTCCTCTTTCTGTTCTGCCTGTCAGCAGTGTCTACAGCTCCCCTGGGCTCCCTCGGAGGAGAGCAAGGGATTTACCTGATGGCTTCGTCCCCCGCTCGCCTGCTCTCCCCGGGGGTGGTCTGGCCCTCTCCTCTCGCGCCAGCAGGGAGTCACCGGCTTCGCGGCACCCCGCAGCCTTGCCCCCGGTGCCTGCTCCTGCAGAGCCCCACCGAGAGCTCCTGCGGGATATCAAGGTGCAGTCAGGGATATCGAATGCCGCTTGTTATTATGCAAGGTAGAGCCAAAGCTCAAGCGGCCCTGCCAGTACCAGACGCTGAAACACAAACAGCTTTATCAAGATACGCTGGAGCTGTATAAATTCCTTGGCAGAAAGGTGAGGCCGGTAAACCGTGCAGGGGTAATCGCTCAGGCCAGCTGTTTTTCATAGCGGGGAACTTTGTCCCTCATAAGGTAGGAGCGGAGCAGAGGGCACGCAAAATACTCCCGGCAAATTCCAAGCTGTAGAAAAGCAAGGTCCTGCCTCCCTGGAAGAATTCATTAAACCTGCCCCGTTTCGCAAAACTGAAATAAACTTCTGAAGTGCTCCGGAGTTTTGCTCAAACAACAGCCACCCCGGCCCTTGGGGGAAGGCTGTTTTGCTTCTGCTCCAGTTACAAGCTGGTGGGACTGACAGGAGTCAACCAGGACCCAGCGGGACCCTGAGTCATGGAGCTGAGCTTAGCAAGGCCGCAGAAGGTCATCCAGGAGCATGTGTTTCAGGGAGGCCTTGGGCTCCTCAGCTGCTTGGCCAAAAACATCTGCTCTAAAAAAGAAAGGGTGCAGGAGGGGGAAATACCAACCCTTTGGCACTGGCAGGTCACAGCTAGTGAAACAAGGTGTTATTTGACCTGGATTTATAATTTGACACAATACTTACTTGAGATTTCTCCTTATGGTCTTCAGGAAGTTTTATTCGTATTTACCCTGTGAAAGACCACTCGAGTGACAGTTTGCAGGAGTGAAGTGACCCGCTGGTACCCAAACAGGAGGAATGGACCAAGGGGAGACTGCCTCTCGCGTCCTGGGCTCCCAGGCTTGCGGGCAGGCCAGCAATGTAGCAACGTAGCAAAAAATACGAGGTTCTCTGCCGTTGAGCCCTCCTAAAACTCAAAGTGAACGGACACAAGTTCATCCTGGCTCCACATATACCGGAAAAATATCTAAAAGACTGATGTTGTGCCCGTCTTGCTGACTGCTGCCCTGCAAATAGCTTGTAAAAAGGGGACAAGCTTTCAGGCTTTCCTACCTCCTCTCAAAGCAAAGGAATGAAAGCCTTTCCCTGTCCCTGGCTGAAGCAGAGGCCACCAGGCCTGCTGCTCTGGCAAGCAGAGCAGGGCTGGGCTGGTCCCTGATGCCCTCTGGTGCCTAAGCACGACATGGCACGGATGTAGCCAGCTCCCAGGCACTGCGCAGCAGGAACCGCTGCCACCTCTCCAGGTAAATCCCTCTTAGCTGGCCCTGCCGCGCTGGTGAGCCGTCCGGCTGGTTCAAGGCAAGCTCCCCCAGGTACCTTCAGGCAGCAAGAAATGGTAGGAGAAGTGCATAGGTCTGAAATATTCACCTGCAAGCCCTGTACACTGCATAATCCCCAGCATGCCAGGACCTCGTAGCAGGCCCCAAAGCAGTGCAGTCACCTCGTTGGGTGGGGGGGGGGGGGGGTCACTAAATAGCACCCTGGCTAAGAAATGTTGCTTTGTTTTTCCTCAAATCAGTGATTGCAAGAGGCTAAGTTTTGTTTTTTGCAAGACTGCCGCAAACTGCATGATTTGCTATGCACATGTTCCTGGCGTTGCCTGTGAACGGTCGATGGGACCGATCAAAGCCACACTAAACTTTCAAGGAGCTTTCAGCTCCCCTTATGGACATGACTTCAGTGGACCTGTGCCTCTCCAGCAGCGCCGCCATTTCAAAATGAGAGCAATGGACAGCCACAAAAGGCAGCCGTCCAGCACCATCCGCAGCAAAACCGCCTCAATTTTGAAGCAAAGTCGGACACCAGAACAAAGTCGTCTGCATATTGTGTCATGAAGACCGTCACGGCATTGCCGTGTCATGACTTGGCCTCATGTCATGCGGGTGCCTGGTACCATGCACCCTCAACTGCGGTAGGAAGCCAGGAGAGGAGCTTTTTCTCTCCCTCGTTTGTCTTTTCTCCAGCCACAAAGATTTCACATCCGAGAGATCTCGCTCTGCAAAAAGGAGCCCCCTTCGACTGCTGTGTCTACCCGGTGGGGGGACAGGACTTGGCCAGCCATGCCAAAGCCATCTGCCAACCCCTGTGTTACTACAAGGGGCTGCAGACAGGTCGGGAACATTCGTCCCACCAGTTCGGGCGGCGCGGAGCTGGTGGCATCCACGTGTGGCCACATCGGACCAGCCTTGCCCTGCAGACGGAGACGGCTTACGGTGGGGCAGAGGCTCTGGGAAGCGTGAAAGCCCCACGCGATCCCTTCTCCCCTTCAGAGCCTTCCTTTAAAGCGAGACACAAATGGCAAAGACGCTCCGGGGGCCCTTTCTTCTTTGTGTGGGACTTTGTGTCTTCTTTACGAGGGACAGGAAAAATTACGGCCCGCGCGGCTTTGAAGTGCCAAAGCCTTTTCCTTGCCAGCCTGTGGCAGGGGGGTTATTCCTGCGCTTTCATCCCACACGCGCCGCCACCATTTTGTTCCCAGCGCTCGGCGCAGGCTGCCACGGAGCCGCTGCTGTCCCCCGAGAACGGCGCTCGCCTGCTTTTGATCTAAAATAAAGGTCTTTGTGACCAAAATTGTCTGCTCTTTTGTCTGGAGGGCAGGAGAGAGAGAGGAGGGGGGAAAAAAAGCAATACTAACAAAACAGAACCAGCCCCAGATGGGATGAAAGAGAACTGCCAAGTCCAGAAAGCGCTGTGGCAAAATAACACAATAAAGCCCGTTTCCCCCCCTCCCCCGCTCAAAACCCCCGTTTCCGAGGGGAGGCTCGCGCAACGCGGCGTACGGACGAGGTCCCCGAGGCGCCGC